ATGTTTTTTTTGGAGGACGTTTTTATTTTTGTTGCACTTGGTCTAATAAGAAAATACAAATCTTTGTCCCCTGGGTATGGTCACATAGTGTCATGGATACACAAATTTTGCAAAATTAATTCAAGGATTGATTATCTGTTTGATTGGTCAATCAATCAATCAATCAATCAGTCATTGAGTCGATCAACCATTTGATTTATATGGCGCCATTCAAAAGCTAAAACTAACGCAAGAGTTTTTTTATACCTCCATGGTTTAGCCAACCCGCCGCCCACCAATAATGATGATTTTGAATAAAAATTTAATTTTATTCAATTAGTGCACCTGCTGCCACAAAAAGATAGATATAAAAAAAAACTTTTTCTTATCTTTATTACGCCCGCCACTCCCTTGAAATCTCCAAAAATCAGATTTATATTTCTTCTTATATAATTTAAAGCATTTAACCATCCCATTAACTACACTGGTTACATTCACCAATAAAATTTTATATTTAAATTCTCCGTCTGGATGTTTTTGGCAAAACTATTTGCTAAAAAAGAAAACAAAAATTTTTTTTTTTTTTTTTCCCGCCCTCTGACAATCTTTACAAAAAGTAAGTTTTTGAAACAAAGTATAAAAAACCCTGCCTGTCATGCGCAGGTACAGGAAGTAAATGCTTCCCCAGCAGCAACTTTTTTCTAGTAAACAATGGCATGTGTCTGATTGACCTTGGGAATATCTTTTAAAAAATAAAAAAATAAAGTATCATAATTAATGAATCATTGTGTTAATTCGAGTCATGGTAGCATTAATAAAAGTTCACATTCGTAAACATTAAAGCATCTGTTTTCTGCTTCCTGTATGTTGATCTGAGCCTGCCCAATTGTTCTCTGGTGCTCCCCTGGTTGTCCTATCATTACTTCTAGAAGTTAATTCCAGTGACCATTTCTTCCCTACTGTCAACAATGTACCATTTCCTTCCAGGGACTTTTAATCATGAAGTAACAGGATATCAAAGGCAGATCTAGGGAAATCTCGGGTGGATAACTGGGTTAAAGCAACCAAATCTAACTTTTTGCAATTTTCACTGTCAAAGTACAGTATGTACAGTAAACAAACTTCCTTTGAATGTTTATGAGTGCAATGGGGTAAAATATTTCATGAGGTGATAGATATATTCAATGAGGCATAGCCGAATTGAATAGAACATCCAATATTCCTCCGAATAAAATATTCTACCCTATTGTATGAATGAGAAACATTCATTATTTGTTTTATACAACACTTCTGTATCTCTCCATTATATCAATAAATATATACCTGTACTTATAGGCCCTTGGGTGTAAGCCTAGGCCTGCCTATAGACCTAGCTGTATCTATCAATATCAAAATCTTCTTCATATCTTTTGTCTCAGGGTTTTTGTGAGTTACTTTTTTTTGACTCGGCATCACTTTCATTCAGTAATTTCTCAAAACCTTGTTTGCTCAAAAGTACAAATGTACCCATTAAGCTTAACTTTATGAAGACAGTTTATTGTAAATTTGTAACAAATATTCTCTCACAGAGCATTTCAACATCTTTTGCTGATTAATTTTTTTTCAACTGTTTATGTATATATGGACAAATTATTGATTCCGGAATAATTGAATGAATGAATACACCAGATTGTGGCACAGAGATTAAATTAATGTGTACAGATTTTATTCCTCAAACTACAAAATGTTTAAATACAAGTTGTGAAATATACATTACAAGCCCCTCACTTTTCAAGCAATATGAAAACACCACTTTACTGTACACAACATGACTTCCATTATTTTATTACAATCTGCATTGTGGAGGTAAAGTAACCAAGACCAAACTTAAAATTTAATCTGTGGACTCTTTAAAGAATCTCTTTAAAAGTTCAATACTGTAAATAGTTTGTGTGGTATGTATAATAGTCCAGTGATTTATGACATGCACTTTGTGAAATTTGAGCCATTAGTTTAGATTGAATTGTCTCCAGTCCATTTAATATGTTAAAAAATAGGATTAGTTTTCAGCTGTGGGAAGTCAGAAAAAGTTCACAGTTGGGTCATACCATGGAGGTATAAATATATTTTTATACCTCCATGGTCATACAGTACTTCAAATGTTGTTAGCTAATGTGATTTATATATTGTCCAGATGATTTCTATAAAATGCTGATTTCAAACAACCATTTTGTTTGCAATCAGCATTTTTTTCCCTAAGTAATAAACTCAGGTTGACTTTATTGATGTTTGGTTTCCAGAAAAGCTACATTTTGGTTCAACAAGAAATATTAATTAATGAAGCTTTGAATCATAATTTTTCACTAATCTCTATTGAATTTATATACCTAGAGGGAACATAAAAACTTTATTTGTTTTTGTAGGAATGAGGATGTACACTATGTCTAGTTAATATGGCCTTTCTGTTAAAAAGAAAAAAATAACATGCATTAAAAATGATTGTTTTTTTCTCATTCAGATTATATATTTATAATAATTAGCTTTTGATATCAGAATTTCTTGAAATGTGTTTAATGTAATCATATTTTATTGTTGAAACTTTTTTTAATACTTTAATGGTAAGAAAATCATTTGTCCATTCGTCATCAGGTAAATTACAGTTTGAAAATCATTGACAGACCCATTTTCTCAACACTGTATAGTTTTTTGTGTGTATGTATGGAATGTTAAAGAATGCACTTTTCCCCTGGCCATTGGGTATATATCAATTACAGTATTCACTATGCTCAACCAGATTTTTGATCATCCTCTATTTTCTCAGGCATTTTTTACAGTAGGCCTACTGTACTTGTGAACTTAGCACCTGATATTTTTTATTTCAAACCATATTTACCTCCTACATAGTCAGCTACCATTTTTATCATGAATGAACTTTAACTTCCAAGCTAGAGGGGAAGAATATGACTTGTCGTTCAAATGAACATTATATGGCATTGATGGGGTGATTGGAAATGGCCACAATACAAACATTAAAAAAGAAATGGGGAACTGGGTATTAATAGTAACAACAAATACAGTATGTGTCTCAGGCCTGTAATCAGGCTCATTTGGGCCTTCCTATAGGCCAAGTTTTTACTCAGAAGTGTTTCTTGAACAAAGTTATGATTAAATACTACTAGTACAGTTGTAAACTGTTCAAAAAGGGAGTTCGGCTGAACCACCAAAAAACTCCCTGGTCTCTGTTTACGGGCCTGTGTCTGCTTCATTTGTACACCACAAACCATAGTGGTTTTCTGTATTTCAATTTTAAACTGTTCCTTTCATACTGGCAATAAGAATTAAGTAATAAGTAAAAAACATTAAAAATAAAATTTTTGAAGTAAGTCGGAAACTTAAATTTTCATATCAAGACTACACTAATCTACAATACGAATGTTGTTTGCTTTCTCACACATTGTTTGTTGAGATTAATGTGGCACGTGCTGAGCGCCCTCATATCACCATCTTATGAGTACCAAATGGAGAATCCTACCCCTTAGAAAGGAAAGCTGTTCCAAACTATTTTGATAGACATAAACTTAAAATCAGTTTTGTTTTTTCCATCGTTGCCTACAACGCAAGTTCATGGACGTAGATTTTCTGCTACTGTATACAGTATTAAGCCTATCCGCTTTATCCCTTGAGAGTATATTTTGGTTGTAAAAGGATGACCGAAAGTAGTATAAAAAAAGAACACTTTTCCTTGCAGTATTGTAAGGCTTACATTTCTGGAGATTGTGAATACCACAATACAATTCTCAAGCTTGCCGATTTCTGTTAACTTGGCAAGTCTACTGTATGTAACATGTCTATTATGATTACGGTATGTGTACTGTAGGCTAACTGTCACCCATGTTCAACAGATATGAAGGTATGACACAAGGCAAAAACAACGTAACTTTAACAACAATATAAAAGCAGCTACATTGCTTTGCCATGGGACGGCTGTGCACTAAAGGAATACATTAAGTTTATTGACTTTTTTTATTATGAACATCAGTATTGGAAGCTGCTACGATATTTTTGTAACTTTCTTACATTGAATAAATTTGGGGAAATAACAAATTATGGATTCTGAAAGATCTGTATATTGAACACCCACTTTACCATAATGTTGTTAATATATTCCCCATTTAGATGTCGGTCTTATTCACCTCATTCTTAATACAGCAAACAGCTTGTGTGTATTCAGAGATATAGGAATTGCACATGAGACAGAAATACTTAATAATATTTAATTTAATCATCGATAGTGATACAGAACTTGCTGTAATCTGGTTTACAGTGTTCCGTATCTTTAAGGTACAGGTTCTGTACAGTTAGTACATTGAGTGTTTTTTTCAGCGATGATTAACTTAAATGATGTTAGGACATTTCTAGTTTTTCGTCAATAAGTGTTACATAAGTTTCTGGGATACTTACTTCTCCTCTTCATCCCCAATGTGACACAGGCTGCAACGAGGTCTTTCCATCATATCTGATCTTGTGCTATGTGTTGAGGACTGTTCCATGTCAGACGAAAGCGTCACACCAAACATGATTTTTTTGCTGAGCTTCGCTCTCGAATAAGCACCATGGCACTTGATCGAGAGTATATTACAGCCCTGTGTGTTATAAAACACTTTGAGAAGCAGGGTTTAAATACAAGGGGATACAGTGTTAAAATGAATAAATAACACAATGAAGACACAAGCATTTCTTTATAAATGTTTATTTACGATGATGTAGGACCTACAGTAGGATAGGCCAACTGAACTACGAGAATATGTGAGATAGGTTACATGAGAACCGGCATAGAAAGCGCCACACCAATTTTTTTTATGTAAGCGCTAATCTCGAATATGCGCTCCTCTCGATTAAGCACCGCACTGAAGCCTCCAAAAATGTTATAAGCGCCGCAGCGCTTATTTGAGCATTTACAGTAATTCTTCTGCTATGCTTTCTAGAAGTTCCCTTTATTATTGTTAATAATTATTTGATTTTAAAAAATTATATTCTTTTAGAACTTCCAGTATTCTAGTGCTATATCAGCAGCGTATACCTACCTTCAGGCTAACCCACAAGACGAAGTGATGATAAGTAACTTGGAGTATTATGAATCAATATCATCAAATAAAGACTCATTTGTGGATTTAGAAGAAGAGCCACACCAGGTAAGCATAAAAGGCATATATCATTGATGATTTATTTATTTATTTATAATGACAAATATTTAATTTTGATACAATATTAAGAAGATGATAATGAGTAATACATTGGTCTTGCATATGTACTAAATGGCATCCTCAACCGACAACGAATAACAATAATAATAATAACAAATTAAATTATAAATTAATTAAATTATTATAATTAAATTTTAATTAATTATAATTAAATGATAATAATAACCTGATAACTAACAATACAATTTATCAATTACTGTACATTTATTGTGTATATAGTACTATAAATATTTTAAAAGCAAATTATTTTGATGATGGTAATTTTATATAGCTCATATTGCACAGAGCCTATATGTTATGAGACGTTTAAGCCGCTGTTCCCGTATGCAATGGCCCATGTGACTCATTGAACTATCGCTTCCGCTTTACCTTTACCTGTATAATAGCTCTGTAAACTTCATTCTTTTTCTTTTAAACTAAAGCTTTGTCTACACTATCAAATTTCATCAAAAATGCATCACATAAAATTTGATGGAACATAGAATTGAACACGTTCAACATTTTTGATACAATTAGATGATAAGTGATATGACGTCATCGTACCCTTATATGGGCACATCACATTTTTTTGTCACATAAAATTTGGTAGTGTAGACAAACCTTAATAATTAACTCAAACTATTTCATTCTAGGCGCATTTTCGCAGAGGTTTGAAGTATTACCGGACACAAAACTGGACGGGGGTCATATACGAGATGGAGGAGGCCCTCAGTGCCTACTGGATAGCAGATCTCGAATGCCGGGCACTGTGTGAAGGGAAATATGATGATCGTGACTTTCTCGATCTTTACGAAGCAATATCTAGTAGGCCTAAATATTTAATTTGTTTATTATATTTTTTATTGGCTTTTTCTCTCAAGTCCGTCCCTTGACCCTACAGAACTAGGTTTCCTGTTATGCTGGAAATTGTCAATGTAATGGATGATGAAGGTGATGTTGATTATGGTAACCTTAATCACTCAGTATTAATTTGATTGCTATTCACTGACTGTCTTTGAAGTTTTTGAAAATGGATTGAACTTATTGATATTCATTAGAAAGAGATTTCCTTACTGTATTCTGAGTTTATCCTATAAAAATAATATGAACTACTGTATACTAAAATGACAAACAATTGGCAAGGAACTGTCATTTGGTACCGCTATATCAGTCAATGGTAATCAGATGTCTTTGAAGTTATAATAATTGTGCAATATTAAATATTAATCATATATAATCATATTATCCACCATGCAAGAGACATTATATTTACATTCATCTGTATACTTTTGCAATATCCAAAACAAATTCATAATAAAAAAAATTGTTGGTAGGAGACAGATCAAGATTTAGACAAAAATAGGAACAGTTTGCTTAATCTAGACAACGTAACTTTTTAGTGAAATTTCATTCACCACTTGTCTTATATGCAAATGTCGATTCAAGGGTGGAGATGGGGGGAGGTGAAAGCTTACCCAGTGCCCCCTCTCCCAGAAGAAGAAAAAGAACATTTTTATTTACATTCAAGTTTTTGCCATTTCCAGCAATCTATAGGTGCTCTAATCATAAAATTTCACACCTTAGCCCCTGATATGGCTTAGACCCAACATGTCAAAATATCGAACTGAGCCCCCTTTATTTCAAATTCCTGGATCTGCCACTGGTACATATTGGCAGTAAAGAAATTTTCATCTTAATAAATAGGTAAGTATTAAATCATATCCTATTGTGTGTATATTTAATTTCTATTTAACGGAAAGTGTTAAAATACCCGATAATATGAATATACACACCTACATGGCTATTATTGTACAATAGCTTCTGTATATCCATTGAATTCAGTTGGTAATTTCATAATATTTTATAGAATAATGGTCTGAGAGGTAATATTTAGAAATTTTACATTCTTTAAAAATATTATAATGATTTGATTGTGTTTGATTTCAGACCACTATGCATCCACATTACATTGTAAAGAGGGTTGCGAAGCTGTACTAGCAACATTGGAAGAAGAAAATTATGAGAATTATTTACCGCAACATTTCCATTTCCTGCAGTTTGCATATTTTCAAGGTTTGACGACTTGGTCTTATTTTTATACAATCAATAAAATCTGTAAATGTTTAAAGAAATAGGACTTTGTCCCAGTTTACTTCCACCTCCAAAATGACCCCACTGGAAAGATGTCTTTCGGAACTTGGTGTTTGTTTCACAACAAACATTATTCTTTCCAGGCTGCTATTGTACAACTGATTTTTCTAAGACACAAAAAAGGTTATAAGGAAAAACATGGGCACTCTTATAAGATACAGATTTTGGATTATTTAAAAACTGGAGGGAAAAGGGTGGTTACGCCCAATCCGGACCCTGGCTTTAAAGTATAATTTGTTTAGATTGTTTTATGAAATGATGTTTGCCCTTCTGAATGCTCTGTTCATTCCCAAAAAGGGCAAACATCTTATTGTATTTCTCCTGACGCAAAACGCCATTAGAATAGATTGTGTTAGTTGCTTAAATTTGTTATCGGAATATTAGATTGAAAAAACAATTATATATACTGGGGAATTAATGTGGTCACGAATCAAGTACTGATCACAAAAAATGATGATTCCATCCTTGGGGTCATATTAGAAGCGTCCTTGTCGCTAATTCTACCACTACCACATACTGGACACGATAAGAAAGAAGAGAAGATATCATCTGCTTGCTACCATTGTCAAGATCATTAGCCTACTTATCATTAGAAATCATATTTAAAATTATCTTTTATAATTTTTTCTTGTGCTAATATTTTAAAAATCTTATTTAATTTTTATTAGTTGAAGATATAACGCATGCTACTCAGAATGCTCTTTCCTTCTTGCTGTTCTCACCGGATGATGAGATTATGAAGTCCAACATGAGGTACTATTTAAATGAAGGGATAGATGCTGAGGATATTCGTCCTCGTGAAGATGCTGAAAGGTACCACTCTCGAGTCATGATGGAGAAGAAGATGCTAGCCTTTGCTCGTTTGAGGTTCTGGGGTGAGGATGACGTTGTAAGTATGAGGAGAAATGGTTTGAATCAATCATAGTGATGATGATCACTTTCTTTATCATGTTCATGATTATGATGATAAAGATCACCATTCGCCATCATTCGTCAATAGGGAGAAAAAGTGTGATGTCACATTTCCCGGTTACTGGTTTCGCTGGGGCCAAACAAACCTTGATCGGCCATTTTGTTGTATCCCTAGTGCACTGAATTTTGTAGTACCTTTTAATATCGCTATTTCTGTAACTTATATATTGCATCATCCCCTTTATTTTGGAATGGCACTTATATTAAATAATCTGTTTACCATATATCGTAGGTTCACCTTCATTTTTGAATCACAAGTTATAAAAATTAGCATTTTAAAATAACGCCATCGCGCATTGCTGTTGGCGTTGGTGTTATCACCTTCATAATCATAATTATCACCTTCATCTATTTCCTTGATCACTATACTTGCCATCATTATCACCATCATCGTCATGATTGTATTCATCATTACTATCATCATGTTATTCACCATGATGCAATACTTTAATTTTTACTACATGTTGTTGTATTATTGGTTGATTATTATAATAATTTGATATTCATAAATTTTCATGTAGGTATACAATGACCCTTTGGAGAAGCCCTCTGTCACAGAATACATGGATGAAGACGATAATAACAAAGAAATAGAAGAATTGATTCAGAGAGGGAAGGAGTTGGAAAAGTTAAAAGATAAATATAAGTTCAATGATGAAGAAGATGAAAGTGATGAATATGTGGAGACCGATGATACACATGAAAGAAGTAACAATGATGATGATAATATAGAAGATAAAGAGAAAAACTTGGATGAAGAAAAACCAAACACTAGTGATGAAGAAACAGATGTTAATGATGTAGCAGATAAAAGCATAACAGATAACGGTCATTTTTTAGATGAGCGTCCCGCTCCACCCACCGAGGTTGAGCGGGATGATCAAAGAACTACAAGTAACAATATTAAAGAAGATAAAGATAAAAATGATGCAGTGATAATTCCAGAATCAGAAAAGACTAAAAGTAGTCGGAAAAAAAAGCAAGTACGCAAGGCTGTGGCATTGCTGGATGGCATGAAGATTACTAGAGACGAAGCCTCGTTAAGAGGGAAGAACCGTGTCGTAGCAGACAAATTAACGAGTCAAGATGAGTGCAAATTATTACTGGACCTTGCTCAGGTGAGAATTGTCTGAATAAGCTAAAACAATTCAGTCTTGTGTTGGCATGGTAACACAAATAACTCTGTTTATTCAGTATACTGAATAGAAGCTTGTTGATAAATCGTTTCCTTTAAAAAAAAAATTAAATCGGGATAAATAATAGCATTTTAGAGAGTAAATGTTAAATAATATCTCAACTATTCTGTAAAGGCGCAGCTTTTGCTTTATCGAATATGTTACAGGGGTCCCAAGTTTTTAAATTATATTTTGCTACGCATGGTAATACCAATCAGCATTGACACAATTGATTAAATATCTAGTAAAACCATGCAAAAAATTGTGGGGGATGGCTTACTTTCCAGGAAATTCTTGCTTGCAGGAGTGTGGGAGGCCTTCCCGATTCTGGGAGACTCACTTGACTTCAGGGATGAATTGTGACCCATGATCAATAATGATAATGAATAGGATGTTGATGTTTAAATTCAAAATACTGGAAAAATATAGTCCAACTATTCCTCCAAGACCAAAATAATTATCAACAGTTTCTCAAAGTTCACAAGTGATAAGCATTCCTGAATAGTTTTGTTGAGCTTAATGTTTTGTAAGTTAACTGCCGTATTCCCACTTGTTATATATTTTCTGTAATGGGATTCTGTATAAGCAACTTATTTGTGTTATCAACCTCCTATTAAGCCGGGTAGTCATTGCGTTGCACGACAGTCGTACAACTGTCAGCCGACGAATCCAACTCCGTTCCCAGTGCTGTTGCGTTCTCCATAGAATTGCGTCAACCTACGACCGTCGTGCCCAGTGAGTGCCTGGCTTTAAAGTGCTATAGAAGAAATGCAATCATGAATATACACATTAAAAATTACATGATTCAAAATCCAAGCACAACATCACTGAGATCAGACATATTATTGATATGCTATCTTCATATCTTTGTTGTAGCTGTAGACATTGCATGTTTGAACTTGAGGCTATTAAACATTTGGGAATATTGTCAGGAAATCTATCATTTAAAATTTTTTTATATCTCTGAAACATAGTAAGAATTATCTAGTCTCAAAATGACGAAATTATAATCTCAAAGTGACATAATTCATTATTTTTTATGTACATTTTTTTTTTCATGGGAATGGGGAAGTGGGTCAGCCTGGAGAGGGATCAGTAGAGTGCTCTATAAGTGCTATAATTATTATATATTATATGTATGAGGGCATCAAAGGAAAAAAAAATGAAAACAAATGGCCTTAATATCAAACACTCAATTCTACATGTTAATTCATCAGACATGCAAATTGTTCATTAATTAATTAAACTAATGAATCATTTCTGATATCAGTGCACTGCATAAATCTAATTTTTAAATCCAGGTTCAGGAGGAAAAATTAATTTTTGATACACTGTATAACTGATTTTTCTAAGACACAAAACTCTGCAACAGTTAATGACATACACATCTTTGAGTACTTAAGAACTAGGGGAGGGTGGTTACACCCAGTTGTTAAATATTCAAAATTTTGTATCTCATTTACCATTTCTGAGTTTTTTCTCTGGACTCTGGCTTTATGTTTTTGCAATGATTTATTGAAATAGCTAAATTGAGAATGTCATGATCTTTTATTTTTTTCATTAACAAGGCTTGTTATCATTTTTATTTTGTATATGGCATGTATTTCACCATGTTATCATATCCATTCATTTCTTTTTTATTCCTAATTTTAACTCATATTCATTGTAATACTGTAGGTGATTGTACAAATTGATAATGACTTCATGTTTATTTTCGTTTTAGAAAATATTTCATTCCATTGATTCACATATTTCTTTGTATGATATTATAAGTCATTTTTATAAAGATGTACCATTTGTGATTAAATCTGGAAATCCCTCTTAAAATTCAATTTAAAAATGTCATTAAAATCGAAGGAATCAATCGGGCTTGGGCAACAAACAAAAATTTTTTTTGGTCTAATAGCTTTTCCAATTTGACAACAAAAACCCAATAATTGATAGTTCATGGTTAACTACAGCTGTTTAAGATCTATGCAAAATATTATAATATAATTGGCAAAAATGTATTTCAATTTAGAAAGTAAAAACTGACTTAAATATTCAAACATTTGCATTTATTTTTTTAGATGAAAACAAATGGTGTGTCTTTAATAAAAGCATCATTATATATTTTTTTGTTTATTATTAGGGAATGATCTTTTAAAGAAATAATTAATATTTGTATTATTTCTTTTATTGCACATTCCAGGAAATTGATACACCTAATCCTCTTTATAAATCAACATTTCAAGAACATATTGTTATTATTAATGTTATTATTTTAACTTATTAAAAAGTAGTGAGCGTTATGAGATCTCATACCATACCAAAATATGCAACCATTTCTCATTATAACATATAACATTAATTTTAAGAATAATAGCTGTGCTCCGAATCTCATAATATTAATAATGATGAATATTTGGGTTTTTTGATAATTATGTTACCATTAGCAAACAACTACTGGTTTTGCTGATATATTTTATCCACAGGTATCGAAACATCTTCATCACAGGTTATTAAAAAAAACAATGTCCTCTGGAATCAAGAATGGCGTGTAATAAGCCAATTTGTAGTTTCAACTGCACAAGTCCATAGTGAAGGTCAATCGACATAAGACAAAGCAAAATTAATTCTTTGTCTCACGTCAGCCGTTTGCGTTGAAAAATTATTGTTAAAATTTGCGCATTGAATTTTCGAAAATTCCGATTTTTTTTTTTAAATGACTGTTCTGCGAGTCTATCAATAAATTTCAATGACGCATGAGGCAACTGTCTCGCTACTTATTTTTGATTGTTTTTTCACTGTACAATGTGACACTGCATACATAGCGATCACAACAGGCCATGTTTTGTGTCAGTCAACGAGCTGATTCTCTGGTGTTTTATTGAACATACATAACAATATAGTTTTTGCCGAGTTTTTTTATAATTTTTATATTGCAAAGTGCATTCTTAGAGTTCGGAACCATTCAACACTCTTCCTGCAAAGCATAGGAAAAATAGAAATATACAATAAATTTGACAAAGTCCATAAACTATACTGTCTGGATTATCTGCTTTAGCATTGAGCTGTAGAAAAAAAAACATTCCGCATTGAATTTTTGATGTGAGACAAAAAATAATTTAAAAAAAAAATGCCTCATTCAACTTTAAATTTTTCAAGTCAGAAGTGACGTGAGACAAAGAATTAATTTTGTTCGGCCTATTAAACATGAATCATTTATTTATTTATATATTTTTTTTTTTTGCATTTTGTGTAGAATTGAAATAGAAAGTTTTTACTATATTTGAACAATCATTATTAAAGAATGAGGATATCAAGTTTCTTAGTGCTTATTTTGATTGTAATTGTTATTGGTGTTATTGTATAATATTGATATTTTATTACTGGTGAGAATATTTATTATATTATTTTAAATAGTATTATAGTAGAACTCTTAAATTTATTATAAGCTTTTTTTATGTTACTTTTTTCATTAATATTATTATTTTTATTAATCATCAACATCATAGTTACTATCATCATTAGCAATATTATTTGTATTATAAGGCATTATTTTTATAGTTATGTTGTATTTGTGTTTTCTTGTTTAATTTTATCCTAAAACACATGCATAGAGTATATACAAATGTTTGAAATTACAGATTAAGACAAATTAAAATATAGTTAAAAATATATTTTATTTCTTTATTCTCCTGAACTTGATAGCATTATTATAACTTATTTGGCATTCCTTAGCCATCCTGAACCATTTGGACATTTGGGCCTCTTTTTGCAATTCCATTTTCTTGTGTTGCTGGTGTGCAAGTTATTCGCATCGTTTGGAAAAGACGTTTAAGCCATTGGTACCATACATTACTATGCTTATGTGCATGCTAAAAGAAACTCTTATAGGAGGGAAGAGTAGAAGATTAGCTTAGAGTGTACAGAACTATTAACCACAAACCTAGCATAATGGGTTCATGAAGTTCTTTACAGGCTTGTAACAAAGAGAGGGTTTTCTATTGAGAGCCTGGGGCAGGAGGGTGCCGAGGGAACCTATGTATAAGTCCTGGAAAAGATCTCTTTTCCTACAACAGGTCCAAGAAAACATTTTTTGTTTTGAGGGAAGCCACTTGATTTTATGCATCCCATAATATATTCCTAATGGAAAATGGTGAAGATTATCATGCTTTTTCAGTGGTGGATCCAAATGGGAAGGGGAAACTTAATTATCAGAAGATACATGAGGAGCTAGCAGCAGTGACCTAATGAAGAGGCGGAAGCTCAGAGAAACGTGTGCTTGCATTCTATTTTTTTATTTGTGGAAGCGGTTTGGTGCAGTGTGAAAGGTTTGGTTTCCCAACCTCGAGGTCGGGGTTTCAATCCCTCGCTGTGCATTTCGCTTGTGTCCTTGAGCAAGACACTTTATCTGCATTGCTTCTCTCCACCCAGGAGTATAAATGGGTACCTGGTGGGGTTGCTCGCTCCTGCGCTGAATACAGCAGCAACACTTAGCATGTGGATCCAATGACCAGGGACAGAAGCGCTTCGTATCTGCAAAGAAAGGCGCTATATAAATAAATATGATTAGATTAGATTAGATTTCAATACCTGACATTGGTATATACATTAAAATTTCAAAATTTAGTAGAAATTTGGGAGAGGGCATGTGCCCTCTCTGTTCCCTTGATCTACCTCTGTTTTTGTTTGCAAGTGGGGTGTTGGGGGTTAGTTTGGTTTAATAGCGGGGATTCTCTCGATCAAGTGGATTCAGCCAAAATACGAAAACCTCCTTGTTACAGGCTTGTCTTAAACGAAACTCACAAAAATTAAACTGCATAGATATAGTATAACTTGTGCATGTTAAAAGTATATAGCCTTGTAAACAACATGCACATTTTGATACCATTTAATTAAGAATTTGACAGACTACTGTATTATATATATTTAAATAAGCTTAATCCAAATCATATAGCACCCTCTATAGCAAGCCTGTAGTGTCACAGTAAAGAAATGTATTATAGTTTTATAGTTGAATATATTCAGGCCAATCAATAGTAGTACAAACTTATTGATAGTAACTTTATATCAAATTTATGTACCATAAATTTGTACTGGGGAAGCAGAAGGGATTTGCAGACAAGTATGTACATACTGACCCCAGCCCAACCATGATTGGGCCATGGTTGAATGTTTCTTTAGGCATTATTTTATATTGCCTCCTCAATTTAAAATTATTACCAGTTTCCTTGGGTACTGCCCAAAATCAGCCCAATTTTGTGTTCAAGAATGGTAGTCAATTTCCATTTATTTCAGTCTCAACCAAGATATTTGTTTTTTATTTTGAAAAAGCTTACTTGCGTCTGAGTGAGCATGCTAGGATGTTTCCCGAATCACTTTAACAAGGCCTTTATATAGGCTTATACACATCTTGTCTGCATTGTTTTATATTGCTTCCTCAATTTAATATGAAAGTTTCAAATTCAGGGACTTAATTGTTTACTCTCTGTGTGATGAACTAAAATTTGATTGCACACACTCCTCCGTAGTTAATATGAAAGATAATGCGTAAAATCTGACCAGATAAAAGCGATGTATAAATAAAAACAAAAAGTTAAGATAGTTAAAGAAAAAATAGATAGTTAAAAAAAAAAGATAGTGGAATTTTTTGCTTGTATAAAGTAAACTTTGTTTGCCATCATGTTACTGTTCTTTTTCGCAAACAGAACAGGAGTTCTCAGGTACCGTAAGGACCCACTCAGGGTTTGCTAGACGAGATCAATTTTCTTTTTAAAACCTAATTATAATCTTTGCTTTATTTTTTTTTCAAATTGTTATGAGATGAGATTGAATATATTTTATAGAGTGATAAAAATAGATAAATTGCAGAGATAATGGCCAAAAGACCTCAGCAGGCAACACAAGAAATTTAACTGATGATTATATAAATGATGCTGAATACTGTTTAACAAACCTTGATAAAAAAATATCAATAATTCCTTTTCTTTTTGAAGGTTTTTTTTATATATATTCCAAACTTCATTGCAATTTAATAATGTTAAAGTTGCTGTTTCATCTTGTTTACATTGTTCATCAATAATTGATAACTATCATCATATTATGAAATTATTACCATCGTCATCACCATCTTTACATCTCTATCGCCATCATCATCATCATCATCATCATCACCACCACCACCACCTTTTATATGGTCATCAACTTCACCACCATCATCATCAACATCATCTTCATGTCGTTACTAAATAATGATTGTTATATTTTCATCATAACTCTCTGAGATTTGTAACAATAACCATATCCACAACATTGTTGTAATCATATTATTAATAACAACTAATATATTTTAATTTCACATTCTAATACTGTAGCACTAATGTCCGTCTGCATGCAGTATACTTAACTGAATTTATGTACCATAAATTTGTACTGGGGAAGCAGAAGGAATTTGCAGACAAGTATGTACATACTGACCCCAGCCCAACCACGATTGGGCCATGAATGTTTTCTTTAGGCATTATTTTATATTGCCTCAATTTAAAATTATTACCAGTTTCCTTGGGTACTGCCCAAAATCAGCCCAATTTTGTGTTCAAGAATGGTAGTCAATTTCCATTTATTTCAGTCTCAACCAAGATATTTGTTTTTTATTTTGAATAATGGTCATCAACCATATGGTCATCAACTTCACCACCATCATCATCAACATCATCTTCATGTCGTTACTAAATAATGATTGTTATATTTTCATCATAACTCTCTGAGATTTGTAACAATAACCATATCCACAACATTGTTGTAATCATATTATTAATAACAACTAATATATTTTAATTTCACATTCTAATACTGTAGCACTAATGTCCGTCTGCATGCAGTATACTTAACTGCATTGTCACTGCACATCCTAATAACTCCCCGCTTATCCCACCGATGGTTTATTGTCTGTACTTCCGTTAACTTACCATTTAGATGTCAACAATTCATGGTGATGGATATGATGATGATCCTTTCCCGCATACCCCTTTTGAAAAGTTTGAAGGGTTGCCTGTTCTTGCCGTGGCCATGGTGAGTAAGTTGGTTCAGTACATAAATTCTTAAATTTGGTTTGTAGTTTTACCCCTTGGGCACGGTAGGTACATTTTTAAGTCTCAGTTCTTTTAGATTTTTAGCTTTCATACATAAACTTTGGGGTGATATCATTTTTCTGATGTAAACTTTGCACGGATATTACTTTTTAATTATTTTATAGTTGAATATCTGCTAGAATGCCTTTAAAGTTGAGTGGATTGTGGTGTAGAAATTTCACACAATTGAAATGCTCATTCATTCATGAGTGGCTGGCTGCGAAAATTATAGAAGCACTGTAAAGTTATAAAAGCGAAATTATCCAGAAAATGATATTCCTCAAAAGTGTTTGTAAAAAGGTGGGTATAAAATCTTGTTTATTTTCATTTTTCCCGTGAATAATTTTTAAACGCTTTTTATTTCAGGTGTAGTATTAACTTTTTCTTCAGCTGCTTTTAATTCTGTCAGTACCAGCAGGTAAGGAATTACTAACCAAACATTTTACCTCCCAAGGCACGTAGTGTGTGACAGTGGAAACCAACAAGTGGCGTTGTTTATAACGTAATTAACATTATTTCATTTGCAGACGTATGCCTACCCAGGGGACGGGTATCAAGGCAACCTCCACCCTCACAGTTCACACGAATCTTTTAAAGGTATCGATATTTTGGAGGTGGTTCTTGTAAGTATGCAGAACCTGTAGATTTTACGAGATCATAGGAACAGACACTAACAATAACAGAAATGAATATTCAATGGAAATGGAATTCTAATTTGTTTGCTCTCCTGTCCTTATTTATTATTGAAATGTAATCTGGTAGTTATTAATATACATTTGATGACATTGAGACCTTGTAAAATACTGAGGTAAGAATTATATCATAATATGAATTTAAATGAAGGAATGATTGTGCATAATTTGATTTAAATTTTACACCTTGATAAATATTAAACAACAATTTCTTTTTTAATGCATTCAATGTGATCAGATAGTATAGCTTGATATAATAGTATAGCTTGAATAAATTATTATACTGGTATATGATGCAGAATGCTTATGCCAACAATACCTACCTTTTTAAACACTATGAAAAATGTACGAATATTATGTTAATTAATATTGAAAATGTCTATATGAAAAAATGATAGTGATAACTTTATGTGCCAAACTTGAAATAATATTATTTTATTAATAATGTTCTCAACCACCCGACCTCAACATAGTTTATAAATTTATTCTAATTACGCCATTTTGGAGAATTTTTTTTTTCCTGTGCTGTATGGAAAACGGATGAACAATTAATTATGATAATCGCTCAAATAGTTATTATGATGTTTATGATAATAATAAGCATAATTAAAATTATGCTTATAAAACTAACAACTATAATAATTACTGTATAGTTATATAGGCCTCATTAAAATAGTAATATTATTAATCATTCTCAACCAATGAAGTACACCTTATAATGTCCCTTCAAAAATAGAAATAGAAATTACAACATTGTTTTCCCAGAGCCTTTAAAACCCTTGTTGATTGTAGAGGAAGCGTTGTTTTAATCTGTAGTATATTATCTGACAAAAGCTCAAATTTTAATACTGGAGTTTCTCTGATACACGCCCACCTCCTACTTGCGTTCACCTAGAGTATAATTTGAATGAGTAACTCTGTTGAATTTACATACTCCTAAGTTGGAAGATATCCCTTCCGGGAGATCTGGTTAAATGAGCTTTCTTGACATATTTAATTTTATTTTGCTGCGCATGTGGTGTTGATACCCATCAGCACTGTCTGCTTTGAGACAATTGATAATAAAGTAGTAAAAACATTCAAATTATATGAATTTGTGGGAGCTGAGTTATTTTCCGGGAGATTCTTGTTTTGCTTGATATTCGGGAGACGATCCTGGAAATTCCGGGAGACTTGGGATGATCCCTGCATGATTTTGAAAAAGGAACTTTTGATTGGTCTTCTCTTAAGTTGAATTAAAATTTGAACTGGGATTCCTTGGGTATAAGCCCCCTGCCCAAAATCGGCCCAATTTGTGTTCAAGGAGAGTGGTCTCGTATACCGAAGTAACTATCCAATGTCCATTTATTTCAGTCTCAAATTCAGATATTTGTTATTTTCTTTTGACAGTTTGCACGGGCCAAGAAGATTCCTCATGCTATGGCTCAAGCTTACTTGGATCTGAGTGAGCGTGCTAGGATGTTTACAGAGTCGTACTTCAATTTAACAAGGCCTTTATATCATTCTTATACACACCTTGTCTGCCGAACAACTGAGCCAGGTTAGTGTCCTATTTTAATTCCATTTCCACAATTATAAATTATTTATGGCATTTTTCAAGAAAATATAATTTCCAGGAAATAGAATGTGCAATTTGCTCAAATATATCTCCCTTTCCAATTTTACAAAAGAATTGACAAAACAAACAATACCAATTGAGTTACTAAAATAGAAAGTGTCTTGTAATAGAGTTAAGTTTTAGATTTGAAATGATGTGCAATCTGGGACGTATACTAATTATCCACGACATATGACACAACCTGCAAAAGGGTACTGTTTCCCTTTTTCTGCGATGTCATGGCGCATAGAGATGCAACAGCGCATCACAGTATAGCTCTGCAGCAGTGGTGTACCAGCAGGGGGCGGGGGAATTTTTCCTCCTGACGTCCGATGCACGACTAGGATGTCGGATCAAAAATTAAAAAAATAATTTGTCTATCCAGATAAACATTAGTTGACTGCCAATCCCTAATATTGTGGTCTAAAAGCAAAATAAACCCTACATAGAGTTTTTAATCCGGGACTCGGATCCCTCCGTTGGACATGGCTATATTGAGTTCATAACTACAGTATTATGTATTAATTTGTTTCTGATGGGTCAGAAGAATGTTTTCTCTGATTACAGAATTAAACTTTTTTTTGCATTCCAAAAGTGACCTCCATGAATGCCTAAATACTATTAAACTTGCAGACACAAAATGTCCAAGCGTCACAGATTGCCTTGTATGATTGTATGTGATCGAAAAACTATTTTTAATTAACATTTGGATTTGATAATAAACATATTTACCATTCATAACAACAAATGATATTGTATTTGACGTTAACAGTACACGGTGCTCAAAGTAAACCCAGATTATGACCATATAATGGTTTTTGATTGGTTGAGTGAAGATTATGTATGAAATCAAATTGCTTTTTATCAATGCTTCAATGAATCCACAATTTATCCAGAGAAAAAGTGGAATAACTAAAGAGGACAGTGACAAAGCAAACACGACAATGAAGAAATATCCAAAATAGCAACACTATCACCAATAATACACAACAAATTAATGACTGGTTGCCAAGAGCAACTGTCATTACCAATGTACTTTTTCAATTTTGATTTGAAAATATTCAATCGTAATTGAATGATGGTTTCAAAATGCAAATGTATCGTGTTCAATATTTACAAAGACGGTCTACAAATTTTTTGTTTTATCCAGGTGCTCCGGTGGATCGTAAAGACCTAAGTCATCCTGTGCATGCTGACAATTGCCAGCTGGATGAGAATGGTGATTGTCACAAGGTGCCCCCTGCATTTGTCTGGAGAGACTGGAGTGCTATCACATATCTAGGGGATGACTTTGAGGGTGGAGATTTTATTTTTTCAAGTAATAAATTGCAGATTCAGGTAAAGTGTCGAATTGTTTGCTTTAAATAAATAAGGGTACAGCATATGCCCCCCCCCCTTTGTATTACTAGTGGTATTTAACATTGACGGGTGAGGGGTCTGTGTGGGGTTTGGTATGTCAGAGGTCTTAAAGATAAGCTGTGACTGTGATTATTTTTTTTTTTTTTTGCTTCATGAGTGTTTATTTTGATTTTATACTTAGCAAGTTCCTAATGCTTTTTGAGGATGGGTGGGCAAGGGGTCTTTTTTGGGGGAATTGCACCTATGTATTTGTCAAAGAGAAATATTCATCTGTTTTCAGTGTAATTTCAAAAGAATACAAGATCAAAATATTTTGTCCACCAGATCACAGCAGCTTCATTCTATCTCTTTACAGTCAAAAGTCAAACCAAAATGTGGACGTATTGTCGCATTTTCTGCAGGTGAAGAAAATTTACACGGCGTTTTACCAGTTTTAAGCGGGCGTCGCTGTGCAATGGCATTATGGTTCACGCACGATCTTCGTTACATGGAGTTGAATCGATACAAAGCACAGAAAATCCTTTCAAATATGAAAGAGGAGATGAATCGGAAAACAGAATTATGAAGCTGTTTAAAAATGAATGTTGTTTTATTTAGTGTATGATGAGCATATAAGCAAAGTGAGGTATGAACACTGGATTTTTATATCTGTGAAAAATGGTCAGTTAACAGTGATGCTTTGGGAATGTATATGCTGGCTCATTTGATTCTACAGGTAGCCTTAACTGGGTTCCCTCGGCCTAGTGTTGTTAATTGCTCCTGGCTTTAATGAGGTCGTATCTGCACACACTGCACTATGCAACATTTTATTTTCTTATGCCTCAGTCATCAAAATGTTGTCATTCTCTTGATGCCAAACACAATATCTGCAGCCTTGGAGTTGTTTTTTAATTATTATATTTTTTTAAAATTAATTTTTTTAACGATTTTTATAGACGGTGACCCTTTTACCCTCTTAAAGATATGAACTAGTTTATATGTCAATCATGACATCATTACATTTACTGCAATTTGATTTTCCTAAACCTACATATGATACGGCAACAACACATGCCCAGTGGAGGATCCTAAATTTTTCAAACTGGGTGGGGGTTGGGCACAATATTTTTAGAATAATTATTTCAATACATAACATTTATACGCATTGAAATTTTAAAATTTAGTGCTCCCTACTGGATCCACGTCTGGCACAGATTGCCTCTAATTAGCTACAAACATCTTAGCGCCAGTTACACCTCAATGCAGTGGTAATGGTTCGAGTATGCATGAGAAAGAAGCAAACCTAAAAACATGAAATTGGTTTTCTGAAGAGATGAATTTAGGAAGTTCATAGATTCTAAGGAACCCAAAATACAAGTGCAGACAAAGGAGAAAATAAAAATAAAATTTTATTGGTGAATGTAAAATAGGATGTACAGAAAAGATAAAACAATGAATAATTATAATTCATGTTAGGAACAGCTTAAATTAGAAAAATATCTATGGCTCATTGAAAGCTGACTGTCCCAAAGAGTAATTACAAATTTAGATATTATACAAAATAAAAACATAGCAAGGGATTCAAAATCCAGTACAAAAAGCACATTTCATATTAGCTGAATTAATCATAATTATTTTTATGAATAAGGCAAGATTTTTTTTCCTTGTTTTGCATATTTTTTTTAAAGATTATTGGAGGAGGGTGGAATAAAAATGTTAGTAATTGATTGATGTTCCACATTGAACATGCATGCTTCATGTTGATGCTCCCCAAGGAACATGCATACTATACATTGATGTTCCCCAAGGAACACGCATACTACACATTGATGTTCCACAAGGAACATACATGTTTCACATTGATGTTCAACATGAAACTTCTTTGCTGCAGCTTAACATTGATGCTGTACAACAACATGCAAACCTCATATTGATGTTCCTAAAGGAACATTCTACACATTGATGTTCCACAAGGAAAATACATGGTTCTTGTGGATGTTCCACAGGGCACATAACATGGTTCAAATTGATATTTTAAAAAAGATGTTGTTTTCTTATTTAGCCAATAGTTTTGCCAAAATCATCCAGACAAAGGAGAAAATAAAAATGAAATTTTATTGATGAATGTAAAATAGGATGGTTAAATTCTTCAAATTTATATAATTAGGAAGAAATATACATATCTTATCTTTGGAGATTTCAAGGCAGCGGACGGCGTAATAAAAATAAAGAAAATATATGTATTTAAAAATGTACAATACAAGGTTGTAAGAATTGTCATTCAAACAAGCGGTATTGTTTAATTTGGTGCTACCAACTCAATGTGTTTTAATTAAATTTATGCTTAAATCTATATTTGTGCTGATTCATAAAAAGCTGTTGTTTGCATTTGCTTTTGCACTCAGGGGTTTTTAACAATATTTAATAATTAGTATACTTTAAAATGTTTGCTTTAACAATTTTGTTGGTGCTATACTTTGTAAATTAGCATAGTGTATTTATATTTAAACAAAAATTATTTTCTACCCAAAAACATTTTTTTTTATAGTTGCCATTTCTTGTATCCATATTTTATATTAGGATTTTTGTAAGAAAAAAAAAATTTTATTGTAAGAGTAGAATATTTCACAAGTGCAAGTTGATGATTTTGAGAATAAACATAGAACACGGATAAGAAAATCCATCACGGGAGTATGTTTTGTGTATTTATTTTTTGTGTACAAACAATCCGTTGCTTAATGTTTCATAAATAGAATCATTTTTCAATATTCAATTATTGACTTGAAATAATGTGCTTTACTATTCCTTTTTATGCAATTTCTGTTTTCAGTATTTCATTATAAGATATGTTTGTTATTGCTATTATTATTAAAGTTTAGTTTAGTTTTTTTTTTAGTGGCTATATGCAAAGATTAACATTAGATGAAAACAATTGAGCAACAACAGAATACACAAAATCAAAACAAATATTTAAGAAACATTTGGAAAATGAAATTGAATCAATAGAGAAAAAGTACAGTACACAATATAATTTCTTGATAGTATTAGTAATCTGAATTAACTAAATAAAAACTATGAACTTAAAACAATCTGCACTTAGACAAAAGAAAGGCCAATTAAATTACCAAGTAAATTAAAAAGACGGTGAAAGCTTACTTTTATTCTAAGAGTGTATTTCACTCTTAAATGGTGCCTACAGTGATAACCCAAATTTCACTCTATATCGAGTGAAAATTTACTCCTAAATCAGTAAAAATAATATTCTTAAAGATAGAAAAAAATAGTAAAATTCATTTTAACATAGTGAAATCTATCAGGAGTGATTACTCTAAATAGGCACTCTTTCGCTATTTTCACTCTTGCATTTTGAGAGTATGAACACTAAAATCTTTTATTGAGTCTTAAGTTCCTGTATGAACGTCTACAAATCGATTTTTTTTATCAAGTATACATTTCACAGCACAGGTGAAATGTCAACTATAACCTCCAGTAGGAAAATTATTTAATAATGACAATAATGTAATTATAATTATCTACTTCCATATACTTATATGGTTGACTGCAAGACACTGATATATAATTGATACATTGATATTTTTATTTTGGGTAGATACCTTCATCGAGTATACAAGTATGATAGGATAGAGATTAACTC